CCTTTTTCACACTGTAGCCTGTCTTCACGGGGTGTTGCCAGATTTATGTCTTTGGCACAAATCCCGAAAACTGTTATTTCATGTCAACACTGAAAAGAGGGCCAAAGCGACACGGCTTTGTTTGTGTTCAAAGCGCTGCAAGATTCCTCCATCCACAGTCCCTCACCGAATGTGCATGGGGTGAGCCGCAGAGGGCACGCATCATGAGCATCAGCTGCACCACAGGGCTGTTTGGGACCGGCATCATGAGCATCAGCACCCGCCCCAGACACCAACACGGGGGCCGGAATATGGTGGCTCACGCTTTTGTGGAGGGCGCGGGCCCGCGAGGTGAAGGGGTGTCGGGGGGTGAGGGATTGCTTGATTCAGCGCATTTCAACACGTCACGCGGTGATGCACAGTGCGGAGCTTGCAAGTCTTGCTTTAGGCAATTTCCATCGGGCTTAGGGATGTCTAGGGCTGCTCCTGGCCACTGCCTGCACAGCCCGCCTGTGGACACAGCAAAGCTCGAAGCGGTTGCAACCCACTCGACTAACATTCGAAGTTGTAGCTGCTGAACCACGACGAGGATGGAACATTTGCATGGTTGTGATGGCCACCAACTTCTGCAGGGCCTCCGGATGGCTGCCATCGTTTAAGCCAGGCAATGTCTTGTTTCAAGTCCCACAGACACACACACACAACAAACACACACACACACACACACGCACACACACACACACACACGCACACACGCACACACACACACATCAGAGATCGCAGCCTTCGTTCCTTCACCAAACAGTCGAACAAACCCAAAGGGGTTAATCCTCAGCAACGGCAGTGTGCGATAGGCCTGTGCAAGAGCTGATCTGGGTTGAAGAGTTCGCGGTTGCTGCATTGCTGGAGCCACCGCCTAACTACAAAGCTCATATTCCCTCTTGACAGAAAGCCACTCGAATCTGTCCATCCTTTGCTTTGTGAACAGGCATGGAATAAGCTCGAATTGCAGGGACACCTACGCTAGCCCGAGCGAGTAAGAACCATCCAAGTAAACCCTTGGCCATTTCGGAGTGGGAATGCTGCAGAAGCTTCAGATGATGCATCCTACAGGCCCGGTGGTGACGGGGCGAAGCATCTCGCTGTCGTGCAGCAGAGGATAGTCGCTGGCCAAGGGTCACGGACCACGTGAGTTTTGATGTTGCCCTCTTTGTCGGATCGAGGGTTTCCTCGCGGCACTTCACAGTTCCACTTCCGTCACATCCCTATTTCCCGGCTTTAGGTATGGTTTTGCTTGGCAGTCATGCTGAATCCCAGGGGTCGAAACTACCTCTCTGGCTCTTGCGATCTCACGACTGAAACAAATAGAGACCGAGCCATCAACAATTACCTGTCAAACATCAGCATCAAAGAGCAATTGTCAATGTCGCCGTGTCGTGCCCTGACATTCATGCCTCGCACTGCTTTGCTGTGCAGGCTGAGCGCACGCTGTCGGGGTGTTGTGCTGTTACAGCCTGCGCAACGATCGCACACGGTCGCATTAACAGATGTTGGCGGACGTCACGAAGCATGGTCTCTCCGTCTTTCTATCAACTGCTAGCTCACTCTTTGGCTCCGGTTAGACTGTTTACAATTGGTCCGTTCGGTGTGTGTGTGTGTGTGGGTGTTCTTGTGCACCTGCATCCCTCCATGTCTTCCTTGTAGTTCCTTCTTGCTTTCCTTCTTTCCTGCGTTTAATCGTGAGCTAGTGAGCAGCTAGTGAGCTTCACACAAAGCCCAACAGTATGGGAGCACAGCAAGCTCGAGACATGAGAGGTCAATACTCTTGCAGAGATTAACTCTTTTCTACTGTCCTGAGAGATCTTAACTTAATTGTGCTTGTGATTTTTAACTGTGTGCATCTCTTGTTAATGAAAAGACCTTCGTTTCGCAGCTGTCCTGAACTAGCGCCTGCATCAAGAGAGGGCTTACTAGCAGTCTTGCATATATAGCTTATGCCCAAATCCTTGCTTCGGTTAGCGTCAGGGTCGGTGCAGCGGTTGTCGGGCCTTCATCGCTGAGCCCCACTACAATCCCTGCACCGCTCTCATTTAAATGCGTGTTCACGGTGGCAACAACTCGCTCACCAGGCATCACCTTTCTCCCGCTCGCAATGTGCTACCCCTTGCTAGGCCACAACTCCTTTCGAGAATCAGTGTTGCCAGGACAACACGTCCTCCAGCTGAGTTGCCACGAACACTGCATGGATTGTGGCAATGGTAGCCATCGCCTGCATAAACGGTGTCCCGCCAGCGAACACGCAAAGAATGGCGAGCAGCCATGTAAGGTACATCTACCCATATTGGCCGAGGAACGGCATAAACATATCTGATGGCAGAGGGAGAACCTGGTGAAAACAATAAGATCCTCGGCCATCTGGACAGATCCAACGATGCCCGTCAAATTGGTTTTCCTGTTGTCTTGTGATACTCGAAGTCCAAGCTCACGCGATGTAAACACTGCTGCCTGCAGCCGGGGTGCCGCCCTTCAATAAATGGCGTCAAGAGCATTGCCAGCCCTGCAGCTGATCGGGTCGTCGGATCATCTCTCGATGTTTTCAAAATGCAAGCCTGGCCTGTGGCTGTTTGCACCCGAGACAACGCAAGAGCCAGCTCATTGCTGGAGCATACCTGGACACACGCGCACCAAGACCGCACGGATTCGAGGCTTCTTGCGCATTGGCTTAACGGTGCATGGCAGTTTACACCCAAGCTGCATCTGCTAGGGCTGCATTGCACATCACCGTGTTCGAAAATGTCGTCAAGATCCTGATCAGGAAACGGCGCAGGCACTTCTTAAAGAAGAACACAAAAGCATGCACTACTTCACTGTTTCATCATCTGATTTTGGGTCAAAGCACAATCGAAGGATTCGACAGACAGCAACCAACCATCGCTTCTTCGCATTCTTGAAAACACACCATCCCAGAAAGATGTTGCCTGGGAAGCCGGCGAAAATGAACGAGTTCAATTGAGTTCAGACTCCCGCGGTCCAACTTCGGTCCAAGAAGCTGAGCGGTCCAATTAGAAACCCAGGTTTGCGCCCTGACACGAGAACATCTCCGCAATGTGTAACTAGCATTGGCTTTGGGGATTCCTCTGGGTGACCTGCGTGTGTATCTGTATAACAAACCCATACGATGTCACATTCCAGCGAGCTCCGTCGCTCATCATTCAGCTTTAGCTGCACGAGTTGCCACAAGGTAAATCGACCTGTGACATCTGCCTTTAACCTCTCTTGCAGGACATTACTCTTCGGTGGCATGATTAGAGAATATGTAGGATGATGGATTGAAACCAATAGAAAGTAAAACGAACATTAAGGGTAGAGGGCGGCAGCATCGAGGGGGTCCTCAAAGGTGAAATGAAGCTCACATCAAGCTAAACAAAAAGTACCCAGTGCAAGACGGTGTATCTTCTCATCGTCAGAAGGCTCCCCAAGCTGATTTTGCTGGCTGTGGCCCTGAGCGTGCCCTTCCCGGCCCTTCCGCGACCTTTTTCTGCACCTCTCCCTAAAAGACTCTCCAAACGATCGGTGTAGCTTTGTTGTGGCTGCATGTTAACTTTATTTTACCTTTGCTTCAACTTGCTTTTTGTTGTTTTTAGCTTTTCCCTAGGGAAAAGCTCGTTTTCCGCCTCCCGTCCCTTGGGGATCCCACACCTTCGAAAAAAATGAAAAAGCTGCAGAAAGGCTGCCAGGATAGTCTGCAAAAGCTGCAGAAAAGGGGAATTGGAAGGCTTCCAGGGTGCTGTAGGCCGTGCCTGAGAACGCAGGTGCTGAAAGCGCAGGTGCAGCAGGCAACACAATGCAGTTTTCATACCTGTATATCTCATTGTCTAGGCTATCCCACGTTCTCACATTTTCGACTCGGTTCCAGTCTCGGCTGAGCGAAGGTGGTGTAACACTTGTAGTGCTTCGTGTCGTGCAGGTCCCATGCTGCGGCGTGCAAGCCTGTCTCTATTGAATCACTTGTAATTAGCATGAGGCAGCCGAGAACTCTCCAATGCAGCGCCTATGCGATCCGAAAGCTTGCCACCAGCTTGGTTGACCTCAGTACGAGTAGCAGGTTGCCTACAGCTGTTGCCGCCGGGAGCTTCAGTCGCGCTCTACCTGGGGAGCAGGCAACCAGGCTCAGCAAACCCACAATGCCAGAGGTGTTGCCAAGAAGCCGTGTCGCTGCAGCTGCATCCTATCGACTCCAAGGCTCTGCAGTATGCTTTCAGCTCGCGTCATGCGACGAGCGGGTGGTTCCTGGTTGCACAGACTGAGGAAAAGCCGCGGCTCAGACTGCGCAAAGATGAAATGCTGAGAAACCTGGGCACCAAGCTTCCGCTTCCATCTCAGGTCCCTCTCAAGACTCACGCTGGCCGGGCGAGTGGCACTGAAGAACGACGATACACATATCCTCAAGGCCCAAGGATTACGCTCTGCACGAGATCGACAGGCAAACATCGGCCTTGTCACCAACTGCTTTCGTCGACTCTCGGCCTTGCCCAGACATCCTCTGAAGCGAACTGCCCCATTGGGTTATGCAGTCTGCAGTTCAGTGCATCCGAAGCCTCTTCATGCGGTTCTTGTTTCGAGGCCGTGCCCATTGCTGTTCTGCAACTCTGCTTGAGCAGCCGCTCTGCAAAACAAAAGAAGCAGAGTTTATCAAGGTCGCACCTGGAGCCCCAAGATCTGCCCAAAGAAATCCGGATGAGGGGGCATGTCAACACTTTTTTGCTTTTACAATTCAAGCTTGGGACAGCTGGAACTTCTGGTCGCCGAAGGCTTCGTGTCACATACTCAATCGGGCTGCATCGGCAAGGGGTAGACGAGTTTTCTCTCTGGCGCCAAAGGGAGTCGCATGCACGCAGCCAGGGGCAAAAGCCAAGAAGTGTGCCTGGGGAACCTGCGGGAAAATACATTAATTAAATTAGCCGAAAAAGGCTCCTGTCTGAGACCGGCTGTGCAAAACAACTGAGGCAGCAATCCATTCCTTACAGATATTCGGCCACTAATTTCTCGGAGATGTTCCACAGCTTCTCTTCAAGCTCCTCTGTGGAAAACTTTGGGGGGTTGGCATGTATGGCCTGATTGCGGAAATACCTCAGCAGATGGGACAAAAGACACTGGAAAAGGTTCAAGACAAGTTGTGAACCTGGGGTCCCTGCTGTCCACGAATACCTTTCTCTTCAATGTCCGGTGAGCTTGCTAAGTAGAGCTGAGTTACGGCACCTGTCGACAATTCAAGCACAAGGTGATGTCAGTTATGACGCCGATGCGTTCCAGCAGCAGAAGCAGCGGCAGTGTCAGTAAGGCGCCTCGCGGCGGTGTCAACATCACCAGCTGCATGAGTTCATCCATGTAGTATCTCCTTATTGATGAAGCGCAAGATTTACATCGACGAGAAATACACATTGCCAGTAGGACTGAGGAGGGGAGCTGATCGGCAAAGCCTTTCAAGTTTCAGCACAAAACACTTACCTAGGACCTAGGAGTCTAACGGACAAGAGGACCCTATCACAAACGCAGGAAGTCAGCAATTTTGACTTTGGACCCTGCGAAGGTTGAGTACACATAACACACGAGCCATCGGTCGGTTATGTGGCCTGCGGTGCAAACTGCACTTGTCCGACGAGCATCCAGCCCTTACCCATACTGTCCTCTGTGGACTTCTGAACCTTCGGCACAGGGCTCGGCTTCGCAAAAGGAAAGTTTACACAAGCTGGCATACAAAGGTGCACAAATACTTCCATCGAATATTCTGGTCGAGCGGCGTGCTTGGGGAGGTTTGTCATGATGCCACCGGGATGGCAACTGTTTGCAAAAATGTGTTTGTCTGAAAGTCGACGGGCTAGCGCGCGAGTGAAGAGGACGTTTGCAAGCTTGGAACGAGCGTATGCCTTGAACGGGTGATAGTCAGCCTCAGCTGTGCGACACGTCAACTGCAGCGGTTTGGCTTGGCAAAAAGAACCAGGAATGGCAGCGACGCGGGATGGCGAAACTGCTTCGCGAGCGGCTTCGTAGTCCTGGCCCAGCTTGTCAAAGTCCGCCGCAGGAGCTGCATCAACCAAGCCAAACCTTGACTTCCATGACTTCCCCGCCATGTCATCCCTGCAGCTGATGCCTGCTGTGGAACTTCTGTTTGCATTAGCTGGGGCATCCCACCCAATCAACCACCCACACGCACAGATGGACCCACTTGTGCCATCCTCCCTCTTGCAAAGCCAGCGCTTTAGAAATCCATTGTAGCCATGCTGGCAACATGAAACAGGACACAACGAAGACAGAGCAGGATATTGCCAAATTTGGGGTTTGTTGATTGGCCCCTCGCCAGCGCACATATGGGATCACATGGGTAGAACCTTCAGCCACAGAGTGATTTCGCTGTTCTTCGTTGCCAGCAGAACTTGGAGAGTCTTTGCTGTCTTTAAGTCGATAGTCCATTACTCGAATGGCCCAATTCTAGCATATCGCTTATACGTGTCCTCACAGACAACAAGCACGCCACATCCTGCCATCCACCGATGCTTGAGTGCGGCTCGATCAGCTTTTAGCTGATTTGTCCACGTGGCATTTCCAATTTGGCCATCATCTCTGGAAAGTGGGCTGCGGCAGAGGTGACAGTCACGACACGCGCTGGTGCAGATGCCTGCCATCGGCAAGGCTGAGAGCAAGGGCACCTGCACTAGAAAGCCTGCAAACGCAAGAATTATTCCGGGACCATGACCTCCAGTTCCGGCAGCAGCAGCTTGGTCAACAGAAAGTGCCCTAAATGATTTGTGGCGAACTGGCTCTCCAACTTATCGACCGTCAAGGAGAATGGATTCGCCATTATCCCAGCGTTGTTCATCAGGATGTGCCTCAGGCATCGAACCAGCCTTGCCGCCTTGACTGCCGAATCACTTTATGCCAGGACCGAAAGCTGAAGCGAGACCCAAAGCTTTTTCTCGGAGATTTACGCCGGAGACATTCTCATGCGCAGCAGACTGTGCCAGTAAGACTGACTGAGCTCTGTGTCTGTTTGCGGCTCACGTCTGATGGTGTTCATTTTCTCATCCTTGGCGTTTTGCTCACACGGGAGTGCCGCTGTTGCCTTGGGCTTTTTCAAGCTTTGTGTGCTGCTGTATCTCAAATGTCAAACGTCTTCAGGACGGGATAGCCGGATAGCCGGGAAAAGCGGAAAAGAAAAGAGCGTATGCTTATAGGATCAGAGCGAAGCCTGGCCTCAGCCTGAGCACGCTCGCTTCCCCGCCGGCCACATCTGAGGGTCTCAAGACATTGGCCTTTTCACCCAAAGGAATTACGGCTGCTGAGTACGTAAACGAGATACACTCATCGAACGATGTGATAACACCAAAAAACAAGCACAAGAACACTGGCAACCAGTGGGTTTTATGATGCTCGTGTTCACGGCAGACTCGGTATGTGGGCGTGGGTGTTAGCTACAGACCTACGCCGTTGTTCTTCCATGCCGCTGTGGAGCTACCTACCTACCTACACCTACACCTACACCTACACCTACACCTACACCTACACCTACACCTACACCTACACCTACACCTACACCTACACCTACACACAGAGACACACACACAGACGCACACACACACACACGCGCA